GACTTAGGATTGAAGGATCAAGGCTTAGGGTTTAGGATGTAGCGTTTATACGGTCCGTGTTGTAATTCTCTTTTTTTGATTGGGGGGGTTTAGGGTTTAGGGTTTAGGGTTTAGGGTTCTCATGCTGCAGGCAATCCCCCCAAGCCCCCTCCCTCTCCCCCCACAGCCCCCGCCCCCCCAGCCAGGTCTCGACAATAGGTATGGGCATGCTGTCGCCCTCCGCCGCAGTCTCGGCTAGCCCGAATCCCCAAGCTCCCCAAACCCTAAACCCTAAATACCCTAAGACCCTAAAGCCCTAAAACCCTAAAACCCTAACACCCTAAAACCCTAAAACCCTAAAGCCCTAACCCCTAAAACCTTAACTTGGCACCCCTAGGAACGCTAGAGACCCTCACTGTGCCAAACCTTCGTCCCCCAAAAGCCCTTCAATGCGAAACCCTGTACCCCTCATCCCTAAACGCTACAACCCTCACGCTGCCAGACCGATGTAAGGGTTTAGGACTCAGGGGTTTAGGGTGTAGGGTTTAGGGTTTAGGGTTTAGGGTTTAGGGTTTAGGGGCTCTTCGTGGTTCAGGTTTCAGGGTTTAGGGTAAGATTCCATTCCAGGGTTCACGGTTGCCTGTAGCTTTAGCCTGAAGCCTTAGGCCCTATTTAGGGTTTAGGGTTTAGGGTTTAGGGTTTAGGGTTTAGGGTTTAGGGTTTAGGGTTTAGGGTTTAGGGTTTAGGGTACCCCTTCAGGGGGTTATGTCTAGGGTTTAGGGTTTAGGGTTTAGGGTTTAGGGTTTAGGGTTTAGGGTTTAGGGTTTAGGGCATCCTGGACCTGCAGGACCGAATCTCCTAAACCCTAAGCCCTGGTGTTTAGGGTTTAAGGTTTTGAGTTCAGGGTTCAAGGTTTTCCTGGGACTCCTACAGTTTGATGGGTTCTACCTACCAAAGTAAGGGGTAGTTACTACTAAGCCATCAGGTAAGTAGAGTCCCAGGTCGGGTTACCCTAAACCCTAGACCCTAAACCCTAAACCCCAAACCCCAAACCCTAAACCCTAAACCCTAAACCCCACGGCCCCAAGCCGCAAGAATTCGACATCTCAGAAAGTCAGGCCAAGCTGCTCCCACCGCCCACCGAGTTGGTTTTCGGCAAGGAACCTCGGGGACCAAATGAACAGGGTTCAGGGGGTTTGGGGTTTGGGGCGTGGGGTTTAGGGTTTAGGGTTTAGGGTTTAGGGTTTAGGGTTTAGGGTTTAGGGTTTAGGGTTTAGGGTTTAGGGTTTAGGGTTTAGGGTTTAGGGTGCGGCTCATGTACCCTCTACTCCTATAATCCCTATTGAAGCACATGATGCATAAGCCCCTTTTTTGGGGTTCGTTTCGTCCTGAAGGAAGGCCTGTGCCTTCGGTACCCCCGAAAGTGTCCAGGCGATTGAGTGTTTACAGTTTTGGGTTTGTGGTTTTAAAAGTTTAGTGTTTAAGGTAAAGTCTAGAGTTTATAAGGTGGCTTTAAAGGTTTAGTGTTTAAGGCAAAGTCTAGAGTTTATAAGGGTCTTGAGTTTGGGGTTTCGTGTCTGGGCTTTGGTAAAGGATTCAAGGCCCAGAGTTTGGGGTGTTTCGGATTGCCCAAGATACCCTTGCAAAGAAAGGCAAGAAGAGGGCCAGAGGGCTCACATGCTCAGCCAGGGATTAGGGTCTAGGGTCCCGCAGGATCCGTGTAGCTGATTGACAATGGGTTTTAAGGTTTTAGGGCTAGGGTTTAGGGCTTAGCAGGGTTTTACCCCTAACTTCGGCACCCCCCCCCCCCCCCCCCCCCCGCCCCACAATGTTGTGAGCACAGCGCCCTATGGGTTTGTAGGTTCTTTTGGGTTCAGGGTGTATAGGGCTTACAGGGTTTGCATGCAGGGTTTGTGGGGTTTACCGTGTAGGGTTTGTAGGGTGTCTAGGGTTTATAGGGTTTAGCGGGATTGCAGGGTCTATAGGGTTGATAGGACTTATCGGGTTCATAGGGTTTGTGTGGTTTATGTGGTTTGTAGGGTTCGTAGGGCATATGGGGCTTTAAAGATTTATTCCCTAAACCCTAAACCCTAAACCCTAAACCCTAAACCCTAAACCCTATTGGGTTTGTAGGGTGTAGGGTTTACAGGGTTTATAGGGCTCATAGGGTCCACCGGGCTTATGGGGTTCATAGGGCCATAGGGTTTATGTGGTTACAGGGCTTGTAGGGTTTGTAGGACTTGTAGGGTTTTTTTACCGTTTACAGGGTTTGTAAGGTTTGTAGGGTTTTATGGTTTCCAGGGTTTGTAGGGATCATAGGGTTTATAGGGCTTTTGGGGTTGATAGAGTTATAGGGTTTAGAGGGTCATGGTGTTTACAGGTTGGTTTGTAGGTTTGAGTGTTTGGGTTCTGTGCTCCCTGGGTGGTTACATGGTCCGTTTTTTTTGGTCGCTTACTTTTTGGTTAAAGAGTGTTCTGAAGTATGGGCCCCTTGGGGTCTTGCAGGGTATATAGGGCTATTTAAGGGGTCTCGAATTAAGCGTTCATAGTAAGAGACCATGTTGCCAAAGGCTGCACAGTGTTTAGGGCTTTGGGTTTGGCGTTTGAGGTTTAACCCAAAACCCTAAACCCTAAACCCTAAACCCTAAACCCTAAGTCCATCTCCTTCTGCATCGTCCGCAGGACACCGTGGCAGATCCCAAGTCCACGTGGCTTCCGCACCTACGACTGCTGATGATGGATCTTTCGGGTTAGGGTTTAGGGTTTAGGGTCTAGGGTTTAGGGTTTAGGGTTTAGGGTTTAGGGTTTAGGGTTTAGGGTCTAGGGTCTAGGGTTTAGGGTTTAGGGTTTAGGGTTTAGGGCTGTTTCTGCTAGGACCGGGAGTAGGCCCTGATTCCCTTTGTATGAAAGTAAGGGTTTAGGGTGCAGGGTTTAGTGCTAGGACCCGTAGGAGGCCCCTTGTTCCCTTTTTTAGGGCTTAGGTTCCCTTAATGAGCCCCTTAAAACCAAAAAGGGCACCCTTTTCAAGCTTGTTTTTCCTAGTAAAACCAAAAAGGGCACCCTTTTCAAACTTGTTTTTTCCTAGGTTACTTTTGGGTCTAGTCTGTCTACACTACACCAAGCCCTAAGCCCTATACCACTAAAGATGGACCAGGCTCAGGAGGCTGGAAGGGAGGGTGGCTGCTTTAGGCTTGAGGGTTTAGGTGGTTGGGTGCATGGCTGAGGGTTGAGGGTTGAGGTTGTGGAGTTTAGGTTCAGGGCTATTTTCAGCTTTAGACTTAGCCTCAAATGGCCTGCTTACGCCCTTGAGCTTTAAGAGGGATTGGGGTTTGTCGTCACAAGAGCCTATCAGTTTGACTTCGCGGGCTGGACAGAAGCCAACCGCAACACCCTCCCGAACGACGCGAAGAACCCGGGAGGACGAGCCAAAGCAGGCAAAGCCTCATGATGCTCGTGAGGCTTTAATATCCAGAAAGGCGTTTGACCGCGAAGGCAGTGGAAACCCAAAAAATGGCCTTTAGAAAGGGTGTGGGGGACGAGGGCTTGGTGGCCCTTCTTAAACACCTTTCAGGGAATAGCGTGCAGGATTCAGGGTTTAGAGCTTGGCAGTCATAAACGTAACTCATTAGGGTTGGCTTTCAAGCTTTATCCCTATAGCCTAGACCTCAAACCATAAACCCTAAACCCTATTCTTGATGGGTTGTGCGTGTACGGGTCTGTAGGGTTTTTGGCTCTTGGGCTTTGGGGTCTGGAGTTTAGGGTCGGGCTTTAGGGTTTTGGGTTGTTCGGGTTTAGGGTCGGCTTCAAGGCTTCTGGGGTTTTAGGTCTTTTTTGGGATTCAGTTAGGGTTGAGGGTTTCTGGGCTTAGGTAAGTCCTAGCTGCTTTCGAACGTACAATCGTGCAAGCTCAGTACGTCCCTTCGAAGACGTCCTAGGTGGCCCTCTATGCCCCTCAGTCGTCGCCTAGTTTTAGCTCCGGATATCTCTTTATGTGTAATTAACTGGTTTATTATGTTTACTTCTTTTGTTTGTTTTGTTGGCCCCGGGGGGGGTGTTTTACATGGTTGTTTTGTAATTATAAAAACCACTTAGCTTTAAACTTTAAACTTAACATTTCCTACACTCTGCAAAGCCTAAGCTCCCGCTTCTTTTCTCCAAAGCCCTATATAAACCCTAATACCCGACGTCCCGACGTCCCCTAGACCCTACATTCCCCTACCCCCCCCCCCCCCCCCCCCCCCAAAAAAAAAATAAAAAATAAATAAAATAAATAAATTGAACATGAAAAGTAATAACCCCCCCCCCCCCCCCCCCCCCCCGCCAAGCCCTAAACTCCAGACTCCCGGAGTCGAAAATCACTCCAAAGCCGAGGCAAAGCTGCTGCGTCCTGCCGCTGGGGGCTGCAGAGCGAGCCCCCAATGCCCTGAACCCAAAACCCTAGGGTTAGTGGTTCGGTGTTTAAGGTTTAGGGTTTAGGGTTTAGGGTTTAGGGTTTAGGGTTTAGGGTTTAGGGTTTAGGGTCCTAAACCCAAAACCCTCCAAAACCCTAACCCCCCCCAAAGCCCTAATCCCTCAGCCCTACATCCCCAAAACCCTATAAACAGAAGCTCTGAACCACCTGACCCCAACCGCCTAAATCCAAAACCATGAAACACCAAAACCTCAAGCCCCAAATCTTCCAGTAGGATAAGGGGACCCTTAAAGGGAGCCATTCTGAACCCTCTTCTGACTCTCTTAAACAGCGACGTTATTCAGAGGGTCTATCCCCTCGGAAGGTCCCCCTAATCCTATCCCCTAAACCCTAAACCCTCTGGGCCCTGATAGTGAAGCCCCAGAACCATCGGACCGCTCAGCCGGAGTAACCTGAACCCAAGCAACACCCAACACTCTCCTAAACCCTAAACCCTAAACCGTGAACCCTGAACCCTGAACCCTACCTACACCCCAAACCCCAACGCACAACCCCAAGCACCTTAGGCTGAACGCTGAGCTTTACCTTGCTCTGCCTCTCCCCAAGGCTAATGCACCGAAATCTGGTGTCGGTGGCCTTCAAGCAGAAGGTTCTTCAGGCCCCCTTCTCCCTCCCAAAAGGCTTCGGGCTTAGGGAGGTCTAGAGTTTAAGCTTTAGCTGTTGGTACTTTGTGGGCAAAGTGTGCCCCTAAACCCTAAACCCTAAACCAGTGCTGGTAGGTTTAGGATCATGGTCCAGGGCCTATTAGGTTCGGGTCCTAAACCGAAAAACCACTATAAACTCTTAACCCCAAGACCACTAAACCCCAAAGGGTTAGGCAGAGAGTGTGCAATGGCTCCGAAGACTGCATCCAAGCAGCCGTTCTTGGAGGCTCGACGTGTTCCCTTTGATGCTCTGACCGAAGAGGCAGCAGTTGGTACCACACGCACGAGGACTGATGGCGATGTCCTGATAGACGAGAAGTCAATGAGCGAAGTTGCCGCAAACCCGGCAGATGCCTTTGCCACAATCGCCTTTGGAACATACACAGCAGACGACGATGTATTTAGCTCGTCAACCTTTGGCATCACAAAACGCACTGCCTCAGTATTTGGGCCGACAGAAGCCGTCGAATTCCTCGACAAAGCCGGGTCAGGCGAAGCTGTCATCGCAAACTGGGAGTTAGCTTCCAGGATTCTCGGAGGGACGACAACGGGATCCTTCATTGCTGCCCTGGCCATGACCTTTGCTGCTCACTGTGGTCATGGCGCAAATGGCGTCGTTTCGTTTGTTGCGCGTTGCTGTTGCTGTCTTTAGTCCTTGTTGTTGTTCCGTTGTGTTGTTGGGGCTGGCTCCTTCCGCCCTTTTGTTAGGCCAGGCTCGTGCCTCGGTCGATCCTCACCTCACCTCACCCCCCTTCCCCCCCAAAGTAAAGATAGAAAATAAAAACGCCGTAAACCCTAAACCCAAGCGCGAAGCCCTAAACCCTCAGCCCTAAGAAGCCCTAAGCCCTAACCCTGAATACTGAAACCTATGCCCCAAAACCCTAAAGCCCTAAAGCCCTAAGCCCTAAGCCCTAAGAAACCCTAGCCCCAAGTGAGCCCTGTGGGCAGGTGTCCAACGCCATCTCGCAGCAGCGACTGCAGGATTTTTTTAGGGCTCTAAGCCCTAAACCCCAGCCGTGAACCCGAAAACTCAAGTTCGCTTAGCCCCAAAGTCCTAAGCCCTTCAGCCCTCAACCATTCAAAGCCCCAAACCCTTAAGATATTTTTGTTGGTCCCTTAATTGGGTTCTCTCAGAAACCCCATTGGAACAAAAGGAACTCTAGAATAAGCCCAACTCAACCCTGAAATCATGGGGATCGGTGCACTGTTTATGAGGTCTCTGAGGGAACCAGGCCTTGGTGGCTCCGCTTCGTTCTTCAGGTCAGGGGGTTCAGGGCTGAGGGCTTTTGGAGTTCAATGATAGGGCTGGAGTCTCTTTTACGGCTCACTTGGGTAGGGGTTAGGGTTTAGGGCTTTGAGGTTTAGGGATTTTGTTCAGGGTTTGGGGTTTAGTTCTCTTCGGGCAGCTCCATGGTCCCTCAGTCTGGTCCCTGACCTTCTTCAAAGGGTTCTGCAGTGTGGGCTTCTGGGGCTTCTAGGGCTTAGAAGGGTCCCCAACTAAGGGACCCTGTAACCCCAAACCCTCAATCCTCAACCATCAACCCGGTAAACCGCCCTAAACCCTAGACCCTAAACCCTAAACCCTAGACCTCGTTCGTGCGAAGGAGCAGGCGGCCGGCCCACAACACATCTTGGCCCTGCTGTCGGGGCAGGCAGTTGAAACATGCACCTTTGAAAGGGCTTAGGGTTTAGGACTTAGGGTTGAGGGCTGGGGGTTTAGGGTTTAGGGCTTAGGGTTTAGGGTTTAGGGTCTGGGGTTTAGGGCTTGGGGGCTTAGGGCTTCGCACCCCCACACCCTGAAGCGAGCAACCCTAAACACTAAATCCTAGAGCATGTGTTCGTCTTTTGCAAATGCTTCTCATTTGAAGGGGAAACCCTAAACCATAAACCCTAAACTCTAGACCCTAAACCCTAAACCCTAAACCCTAAACCCTGAACCCTGAACCCTGAACACCCTGAACACCCTGAACACCCTGAACACCCTGAACCCTGAACCCTAAACCCTAAACCCTAAACCTTTCCTTAAAGAGCTTATGGGGTGAGGTGGCGGAGCGAGGTCCGAAGAGCCTAAGTCATCAAGCTTGCAAAATCCTCACAACACATGCCGGGAGCCCCCGTGAGCTTAAAGTAGCTGAGTAGATATCCTGTAGGGTTTAGGGTTTAGGGTTTAGGGTTTAGGGTTTAGGGTTTAGGGTTTAGGGTTTAGGGTTTAGGGTTATTACGGCTATACACCATCCTACCATAGTTGAAAGGTTAACCTTTTTTGGGTCAGGGTACTCAGCAAATCCAAGCCCGAAACCTGTGGATTAGGGTTTGGGGTCGGGGTTTAGGGTCTAGCCAACAAGAATGCCGCAGGGAGCCCCAAAAGTCAGTGCACAGGCACTACATACTTCAAGCCCGTGGAAACCTGAATGAACCCTAAGGCGAAACCTCTGCAATCCCTAAATCCTCCAGATCTTCACCCCACCCTCCCCCCCCCTCCCCCCTCAGTCCAAAAGATTCTGTTCCCTTGCAGGAATCCGCCCCTTACTAAGAAGACTAACTCTGTTTGAAAGTTACGTGGGGTGGGACACCTAGTGCTGCGCTCTTCGTTCCTGAGGGTGACGGGCGAGTATCGGAATCCGCAGCTACAAAGTGATGGGTGTGCAGGCGCTCGCTCTGAAGGCTTGCGGTGCCGAAACCATCGTCCAAAGTTCCCAAAGAGCCCAAGACCCCTTAATTAAGGAATAGAGCTTAAATCATATTAAGGATCCCTATATCAATGAAGCAATATTCCCTAATTAGAGGATATTGGGCTCTTTGGGTTTTTATCGGTGAGCACTTCTACAGGGCACTCTTCCGCATTGGCATCGACGGTATCCTTGACCCCATTGGCGGGTGGGAGACGGACGCGACCTGAGTATGATATTGTGCGCAAGTAGAATGCAGCCGTGGAGTCCAGTAGCCCTTTTGGGGCAAGGTGTACTTGCTGAAGCAGCCAGGTGCTTTTATTTCCTCCACTCTAAACACTCAACCCGAAAGCCTCAACCCTAAACCCTCAACCCCAGCCCCAACAAAGCCTTGTTGCAGGCCATACGGCCGTTCTTCGTCATGGAAGTGAGCGGGCGCCCCAGGCCCAAAACCCTAAACCCTAAACCCTAAACCCTAAACCCTAAACCCTAAACCCTAAACCCTAAACCCTAAACCCTAAACCCTAAACCCTAAACCGCGGCGCCCTTCCCCTTTTTCAAGGCAACCCCTGAACCCCGGGAGAGCCTTTAGGGTTCAGGGTTTTGGGTTTAGGTTTGAGGGTTTAGGGTTTAGGAGTTTAGGGTTTGGGGGTTTAGGGTTTAGGGTTTAGGGCTTGAGGGTTTAGGAGTTTAGGGTTTGGGGGCTTAGGGTTTATCGGGTTTAGGGGTTTAGGGTTTAGGGCTTGGGGTTCAGGGCTTCGGGGTTTAGGGTTTAGGGGTTGGGTTTCAGGGTTTGGTCAGGTTTCGAGTTTTTTTCGGGCTGCTGCAGTGGGAGATGCGGGGCTGATAAGTTTCCCTAGGATCCCCTTGCAGAGGGCATGTACGAGCCCCTGAGCCCTATATAAAACCCAAACCCTAAATCCCAAGCCCATGAAGCTTAAGCCCAGAAACCGGGCTTGATAAGCACTAAACCCGAACTCCTAAACCCATACACCCTAAAATCAGCACTCGAAACGATCCGAAACCTCTCAGCGCCGTACATCCTAAACCCGTAACCCTTAAACCTATACACCCTCAAGCCTAAACCCCAAACCCTAAACCCCAAACCCTAAACCCTAAACCCCTAAACCCCTAATCCCCTAAACCCCTCATCCCCTAAACCCCTAAACCCCCGCACCCCAAACCCCAAACCCCAAACCCCAAACCCCAAACCCCAAACCCCAAACCCCAAACCCCAAACCCCAAACCCCAAACCCCAAACCCTAAACCCTAAACCCTAAACCCTAAACCCCAAACCCTAAACCCTAAACCCCTCATCCTAAGGCCGTGACAAGATCGTGGAGGATGTGGCGCGGGTCCTGAGGCGCGCCGAGGGCATTCGCAAGGCGCTAAGTGGCCCAAAGTAGGTAAGGTTTTGGGTTTGGGGTTTGGGGTTTGGGGTTTAGGGTTTGAGGCTCCAAATTGCCCAAAGTAGGTAGGGGACCCTCATGGGGGCAGTATAGGGGTCTAATAGTATTCCCGTCTGGTCCTTTTGTGATCATACCATAGCAACACCCAAAACCCTATTGTAATTACTAAGGCCCCTATAGTATTTAGGGTTTTTTCGGGGCTATCAAAGATAAATGCAGGGGTTATATTTAGGGCTTGTTTAGGGGCTAGGTATATAGGGATATAAGGCATATAGGGGAACAGGATTAAGGGTCCTTACTTTGGGGGCTTAGGGCTCGGTAGCCCGTAGCCACATCATTATTAGGGCCTCCTTTTTCGGTTGGATACTTTATGTGGGAATCTTGAATTCAAAGGGACTAAATGAGGGCGAGGGATCCTTATAAGGGACCTTAAAGGTTGGTAAGGGTGTTTTTCGGGTATTTAAGTATACAGGGTCTATATAAGGGAAATATAGGTGAGGGAAATATAGGGCTTACTTAGGGAAAAAAAAAGGAACTACAAAAGGTAAACATGGGGTGAACAACGGGAATAAGATGAAGGGTCCCTTCTAGGGGTCCCTCCTTATACCTCTTTACTAAGGCTCCAGGGGGCGGAAACCGGGGGACATCCAGGCCGCTTGACCACACCCCCGAGAACCCTATGTAGGTTTAGGGTTTAGGGTTTAGAGTTCGGGTTTAGGGTTTAGGGTTTTGGGTTTAGAAGTGTGCGGGCTTGCGGTTTGGTTTTGAGGGCTTGGGGTTTTGGGTACTTGGCGGCCCTTTTTCCTTCGAGGAGCTTCCTAAACCCTAAACCCTAAGCCCTATATGATATATGGTAACTGTGCGACTGTTGGATACTCAGCGGCTCGTGCGTTGCTAGCGATGATGGCAGGTCAGCGGAGGCGGCGGCACTCCACTTACCTCTCAAGGTGGGGTTCAGGGTCTGGGGTTTCGGGTTCAGGGTTTGGGTAGGGCTTCGGGCTGAGGGTGGGCTTATAGGGCTCAACCCTAAACCCTAAAACCCTAATAGGGTGTTTAGGGTTCATAGGTTTACAGGGTTTAGAGGGTTTATGGGGTGTTTAGGGTTTAGGCGCCACATGCCTCTCAAGGTTCGGCTGTTGGCGGAAATGGAGGAGGGGGTTGGGGGTTATTTAGGGGCTACTCAGGTATATAGGGACTATACAAGGTTTGTATAGGGATATCGAGGGGAATAAGATTAAGAGGGTCCCTTTAGGGATCCCTCCTTATACCCCTGAATTCTAGCCCACAACAAACCTGCCCAGATCTTCCAAAACCCCTTAATTGAGGAATATGCCCTAATTGATACTAAGGATCCTTATTCTGAATGAAGGTATATGCCTTAATTAAGGGGGATCCTTGCCACTTGAACGCTGGTGCAGCGGAGGTTTCTGCAAGGCGTGCTCGAAGCCTCTGACGCAGCACATCCCGCAGGCGGTTGAGCCGCCGCACGTCCTGGGCGCCGACGACCCAGAAATCTGACCAGAAAGGCATCCATTGAGACGAGGATGTCTCGCTTAGCATCCTGGTCCTCAGCGAGCCACCTCTATGAGCAGACTCACAGCCGCCTGAGGTCTCTGCAGGAGAAAGTTGCAAAGACTGGCACTGAGTGCTTGGCTTTGGGGTTTAATAAGGGTTGAGGGTTTCGGGTTTAGGGGTTTCTTAGCTAAATGGCTTAGGCTTTGATGGTTTAGGCCTAGTTAATGATTCATTAATTAGTGGTGACAGAGGGAGGCATAAGTGTACGGTTTGGGGCGAAAGGGTGCCTCCAAAGGCCTAAGCCCGCCGGTTTGTTTTCATGGTGCCAAAGGGTTTAGGGCTTAGGGTTTAGGGTTTATGGTTAAGGGTGCAGGGACTAGGGTTTAGGAATTTAGGCATCATTAGGGTTAAGGGTTTAGGGTCGAGGGGGGTCCGCGACCAGGTCAAGTTCACCGGCGAAGACGGCCAAGATGAAGGCTCGCAGAGTGTTTTCATCTCTGGGGCTTCGCTAGGTTTAGGGTTTAAGGGTTTAGGGTTTAGGGAGTGTACCCGGAGAGCCCAATACCCCTAAACCCTGAATTCTAAACCATGGAGTAAATCAAATAAAATGTTCTCAACGTACCTGGAGAGTCTAATACCCCTAAACCCCAAACCCCAAACCCCAGTGAAACCCTACACCCTAAACCCTTTCTTGTTTTCAGAAGGAATGAAGTCCCTTCGGGCTCCCGTGCTTTCGACCGTCTGGTCTCAGACCCATCTCCTTTCTCATAGTGGGGTAGCATTTTACATTTTGAGGGTACGCAGACTCAAATAAGAAAAGAAATGTGAGTTTTTGGTACTATCCTAACCATGAACTAGTCTCAAGGGGCCCCAGCATTTTACGGGTGGTCAGGTTTTTGTTTTTGAGGGTTTAGGGTTTCGGGTTTCCGGTTTCGGGTTTCGGGTGTTCAGTTCTTGTTTTGCAGCTTATGAGGTTTTAGGGTTTACGGTTTTCGGGTTTCGGGTGTTCAGTTCTTGCTTGCAGTTTAGGATGTTGGGGTTTCGGGCTTGGGTTGGGGTTTTGAAGGTTTGCTTCTGCTTTAATGAGGGATTGGTAAAGTGTTGCAGGTTTTTGCTGGCTTCTGCGGTTTGGGGCATTTGGGAAGGTCTACCCCCTGCACAACGTTAATCCAGTTTAGGGTTTCCTTAAACACTAATACCCTAAACCCTAAACCCTAAACCCTAAACCCTAACCCTAAACCCTAAACCCTAAACCCTAAACCCCATGAGCCCTAAGCCCTCGACTTAAACCCTAAACCCACCTCAGAATTGCCAGGCGGCGTTCGCAGAGAGTTTTTCCAGGTCCTGATCCGGAACCTTTTCGACGAGACGCTCGGCCTACCAAGAAAAGGGGGAGTACGGCTTTTGAAGATCCAGGGGTTGTTTAGGGTTTAGGGTTGAGGGTTTAGGGTTTGTGAGTTTTGGGATCCAGTGCTTCAGGGTCCTGCTGTTCCGTGCTAACCCATCGGGTCGGAGGAGGGGGGGACCCTAAACCCTAAACCCTAAACCCTAAACCCTAAACCCTAAACCCTAAACCCTAAACCCTAAACCCTAGACCAGAACGTTTAGGGTGCCATTTAGGGTTTACGAAATTTCGGCGGGGGGTGTTTCTTCTGTCAGGTCCTATGGCATGTTCACACACGACCCCGACTCGCATGCGACGTGGCCACTTGGTTGCCCTATTTTGGAGCCTGAAACCCTAAAGCGGTTTAGGGTTTAGGGCTTTCGGGTTTCAGGATTTAGGAGGAAACTTCAAGCCCGAAATCCTGCTGAAGCCCTCAACCCTAAACTCTAAGCCCCAACCCCAAAACCGTAAGCCTGAAACTCTGAGCTCTGAACCCTACAGCCCGCTCTCGCCTCTAGACCTTAAACCTTAAGCCCTAAAACCCTAAAACCCTAAAACCCAGTGAGCCAACTTTCCAACCCAACACCTCTTGAGCCGACATGTAGCTCTCTATATGGGTTTAGGGTTGAGGGTTTGGGGTTTTAGGTTCAGGGTTTAGGAAATGAAATGCGGCACCCTTGTAGGAAGGACACCCCAAGGGACCCCGACTTAGAGAACTACTTTTGTGTCGTGAGGGCCTGGGGTTTAGGGTTGATGGTTTAGGGCCTGACTCCTGAGGGTCCATATACCCAAACAGGGAACACTTGGGCCTTAAAATGCTTCCTATACAGGGAAGCTGGGGTCCAAGTAGATAGTAAGATGGTACATGAACCCTAAACCCTAAACCCTAAACCCTAAACGGGTCAGGGCTTATGTACTTCCACAGCCACCAGCTGGTATGTCCACCAAGGGTTGGGTGCACAGGGGCCTCTCCTGATGAGGGCCGAACAAAACCCTCAAACCCTAAACTTCCTTAACCCTAAACCCTAAGCCCTAAGCCCTCTAAGCCCTAGACCCTAAACCCTAAACCCTCAACCCCTCACCCCTCAACCCTCAACCCTCAACCCTCAACCCTCAACCCTCAACCCTCAACCCCCAGCCCTCAACCCTCAACCCTCAACCCTCAACCCTCAACCCTCAACCCTCAACCCTCAACCCTCAACCCTCAACCCTCAACCCTCAACCCTCAACCCTACCCCCCCGCTTCCCTGAAGCCTCATCCGCACGGGTTCCGGGTTTCCAGGTTCAGCTCGAACGCCCTGGAGACCGAGGACGCGGCCATGGGTTGCCATGTTTAATCACGAAAATAGGGTTTAGGGTACCCTAAACCCTAAACCCTAAACCCTAAACCCTAAATCCTAAATCCTAAACCCTAAACCCTAAACCCTAACCCCTAACCCCTAAACCCAAACCCCTCAACCCCTCAATCCCTCAACTCCTAGAGCCTAGAGCCTAGAGCCCTAAGCCCCTAAACCCCGGAGCCCCTGACAGAACCAGCAAGTTGCCTGGATTTTTTGGGGTTTAGGGTTAGGGTTTAGGGTTTAGGGCAACATGGACGGGCCCAACGAAGAAGCAAAAAAGGGGGTTGTGGGGGGGGGGGGGGGGGGGGCTAGGGGTTAGGGGTTAGGATTTAGGGTCTAGGGTGTAGGGTTTAGGTCACCTGCTACCATCTGCATTTGGACGACAATACTTACTTCTTCAACAACCCAGGAAAACAAAGGGTAAACTGCTACTCGAGCAAAATAAGGAAGCCAAGGGAGTCAGGGCGTACTCCGGGCCTAGCCCTAAACCCTTAAACCCTAATTAGGGTTTAGGGTTTAGGGTTTAGGGTTAGGGTTTAGGGTTTAGGGTTTAGGGTTTAGGGTTTAGGGTTTAGGGTTTAGGGTTTAGGGTTTAGGGTTTAGGGTTTAGGGTTTAGGGTTTAGAGTTTAGGGTTTAGGGTTTGCTGTGATAGGGTCGTGAGGTGCGAAGAGCAGCTTTGGCCCGATTGTGGAGGGCCATCTAACACTTTTCTCCTACCCACGCCGTCCAAGGCGGCAAAGCCACCCAAACCTATTCCTTTTAGGGTTTAGGCCTAAACTCAGACAACAGCCCACTTCTGGGGTTTAGGGGTTGAGGGTTACGGTAGGGACTTCGGGCAGTTGGGTCCCTTTCTAGTCCTCCTTGCGAAGATGTATCAACGCTAAGGGACTACTTTGGGGTCCCTGATGCGCTTTCTTGGGGTAGCTAGAGTGCGAATCCCTTCCCTCAGTTCCCCCTTCTCCCTTCCCCCCGGCCCTCGATGAAAAACACCGGTCCGCCCTGAGCGTCGTTAGGGGGTTCCCCTAAATCACAACAGGCTGTAGCCAAAGTCCTGTTTGAAACTGGGGTTCGTAGTGGAGGGTTTCTAAATGGCCTGCGTCATTTAGAGATCTATGACGGCTTGTTTGAGTTGTGCATGTCGTGACTACTTTGAGGCCAAAAACATTGCCTATAAAGGCCCTACCCCCTAGACCCTAAACCCACCTCATCTTCCGCGCCTCTCCAGCTTCTTGAACTTGCAACCCGACACCAGCCTTGAAATCCTGGAATTGGTGGCGTCCGTTTCCTGGTCCATCGGCTCGACTAGTGACTGCAGCGAGCAGCCGGGAGGCTCCCTATGTAAAGTACGGCGAGTTCCCTATTGAAGTGATATTGGGCTCTTGGGGTAGCTGCATCCTTTCGGATCCTTGTAGTAGCCCTAAACCCTAAACCCTAAACCCTAGGGTGGGGGGGGGGGGGGTTAGTATAGACGGGGGTAGTAGGGCAACCCATGACTATAGGACACCGATGAGCTCTTCAAGGTCTGCGGCACCGTCATCGGGCTTGCGGCACTTCGGCTCCCGATTTCTTTCGGACTTTCGGGATATTATCGGTTCTCCTAAACCCAAAACCCTGAACCCTAAACCCTAACCCGAGGTTTTTGGGCTTCAGGTCTTAAGGGTGTGAGGGTTGAAGAAAAGGGCTTAGGGTCCAGGGCTGTCGGCCTTTCGAGTAGGCTTCACGCTGTAGAACTTAGACCTGAGACCTTGAAGCGAAGAAGCCCTTCATGTGCCGTTTTCTTTCCGACCTCTAAAAACCCTGCGCCCCAAACCTTTAGAAAGGGTTTAGGGTTTAGGGTTTAGGATTCAAGGTTTAGGGTTTAGGGTTTAGGATTTAGGGTTTAGGGTTTGGCGTTTAGAGTAACCCTGGAAGCCTAACCCCTGAATGCAGGCAGGGGCCTGGCTTTTGGGTTTCTGGATCTCAGACTCCTGTTGATGATGGTCCCTTTTTGGGATACCCCAAATATTTGGGGCGGCCTTATACATGCAACCCCGAATCCCCGGTTATAAACTCTTTAAGCCCTTGAAGCCCTTCGACTCTTTTAGCCCTTTTAACATCTTTTTTACCCCCTTGTAACCTTTTTGCAACCCTTTGAACCCTTCAAACTCTTTAGAAACCCTGAAAGCACCCTTAAACACACCCTCTAACAACTCTTCAAGACCCTTCAAAAAACACTTTAAAAATCCTCTAGAAACCCTTTAAAACCCTTAAAACACCCTTCAAGAGCTCTGAATCGCCCTTCAAAAACCCTTCAAAACCCCTTGGAAACCCTTTAAAAAGCCAGATCCCTTGAAGACGAAGCCCCCTTCAACCCGAGGTGTACAACAACGAGCACGGCATCGAGATCCACTTCCCGCTGGCCATGTTCAAGAAGCTCAAAGGCCCCGGCCGGTCTCATGGTGCTTTGTTTTATTCCCTATTAAGCGCTAAACCTAAACCCTAAACCCTCAACCGTAAACCCTAAACCCTAAATGCAACATATGCTGACTTTGGGGTTTGCTGTTTAGGGGGGGTCGGTTGGGGGTTTTATAGGGTGTGGGCACTAGGGTGCTCAACCCCGGTGTGGGACACCTTCCTACATTTGCAGCTGTGAAATATCAAAGCCCCTAAACCCTAAACCCCAAACCCTAAACCCTAAACCCTAAACCCTAACCCCCTAAGCCCTAAGCCCTAAGCCCTAAGCCCTAAGAACTTGCAGGCCCAGTAGTGCCCTTCTCCTTTTTTTTTTTTTTTTGGGGAGGGGGGGGGGGGGGTTCCAGGTTCCCTTGTAAGGTAACCAACCAAACAAAGTGTTTAGAAGGGTTTAGGGTTTTAGGGTTTTAGGGTTTTAGGGTTTAGGGTTTAGGGTTTAGAAGGGCTTATTCTAATCTATGCTTACTGGGCTACTAAGAAAGAACACAGACAAAGAGTCGACCAGAGATCTCGGGAACAGCCCAACAGCCCGACACTGAAACCCTAAACCCTAAACCCTAAACCCTGTTTAGGGTTCAGGGCTTCGGGTTTGAGAAGCTGGGAAGGCCATGGCAGTTTGTGTATTTTCTTCCATTTTTGGGGCTTCAGAGGATCTTACTTCGGAATATTGTTCGAGACTTGAAAAGGCCACCCTAAACCCTAAACCCTAAGCTCTGAACCCTAAACCCTAAACCGTACCCCCCCCCCCCCTCCAATTCAACCCTAAACCCTGATGATGTGTTCGGGCTTTTGGAGTCTGAGGGCCCTGAAAAACTAGGACCCGGAGTAGGCCCTTATTTCCTTTTTTTAGGTTGGGGTACCCTTACAATCCCGAAACAGGGTTCAGGGCTTAGGGCTTATGGTTTAGGGTTTCGGTAGGATTTTTGCCTGCTTTTGGTGGGCCAACCTTAAACCTGAACGACCCGACAACCCTGAACCCAAAAGGCTCACCTATTGTCATCCCCTACGCCCTAAATCCCAAACCCTAAACCCCAAACCCAAAACCCCAAGCCCTAAACCCCAAACCCGAAACCCCAAACCCTAGACCCCCAAGCCTAAACCCCAAACCCTAGACCCCAAACCCAAAATCCCAAACCCATTCTAGACCCTAAACCCCCAAACCCTCAACCCCAAACCCTAAACCCTAAACCCTAAACCCCAAACCCTAAACCCGAACCCCGAAACCCCCCAAGCTGCGCCGGTATGCCCGAATTCCTCCCACGGAGGTGAGGAATTGGGCCTGGCCGATCTTCAGGACATCAAGCCGAAGGTGCTCTTGTGGATTTAGGGGGTTTAGGGTTTAGGGTTTAGGGTTTAGGGTTAAGGGTTAAGGGTTAAGGGTTAAGAGTTAAGGGTTAGGAAGGTCTAGGGTGCAGGGTATAGGGTTAAGGGTTGATTAGGGTTTAGTTTGGGTTGAGGGCTCAGGGTTGTTTAGCGTTTAGGGTTTAGGGTTCAGGGGGTTTGGAGGGTTTAGAGTTGAGGGCTCACTGGTATGCTGTGGTTTTGGAAATAGGGTTCAGGGTTGCGCAATGCTTTCGCCACCTTCAGTTCCCGCATAACATGCCCCGCCTAGACGTCCATCCCTAAACCCTAAACCCTAAACCCTAAAACCTAAACCCTAAACCCTAAACCCTAAACCCAACAGCCGAAGGGTTGGGCTTCTGTCTCTAGAGGCGGGGGGCCATTTGCCACCCCAGAGGCCCCGGAACGGAACATTGATCATCTTTGTCTTGCTGGGTGTTGGGTTGCACAGCTGGGTTCATCACATGTAGAGTGCCCATACCCGAGAAAGTCTCTCTGAGCCCAAGCCCTAAAGTTCAACCTGCAGACCAAGCTCAGACACTAAATGCAGGGGTGGGTTTCAACATAGTTGTGAATCGTTCTTGCCCTTAGCCCCTATTTTTTCTCCTTGTGAAGCCACATATAGACATCGAATTGTTTATAGGGCCCCCAAACTTACCCGATTTAAAGCCTAAACCTGGAACTAAGCACGCACCGGACTTCGCAGACTCAACCCTTAAACCCTCAAACCCTAAACCTAAAACCCTAAACCTAAAACCCTTAAACCCTAAAATCCTAGACCCTAAAACCCTAAGACCCTAAGACCCTAAAACGCTAGAACCCCATCCGAAGCCCTAAACCCTGCCCTAAACCTAAACCCTAAGCCCTTAACCCTAAGAGGTTTGGATGTCTCTGGAGCAGCTGCTGTCTTGGCAGCCCTCGACCGACAACCCCAACCAAGAATTCGAGGATCCAATTGCACTTGAAGGGGGGGGGGGGGGTTCTGGCTCATGCCTTTGGGGGTTGCCCTAAACTCTAAACCCTAAACCTCAAACCCTAAACCCTAAATAGGGTTTCAGGATTTACGCCTTTAGGGTTCGCAGGTTTATATGGTCTTTGGGGCTTCTAAGGGTAGTTACATGGTCCCTTAATATGGTTCCTTAACTTCTGAAGTATGGGCCCATGCGTTTTCTAGTGTATATAATATAAGGGGTCCGCATGTACGGATGTTTCATTTGAGGGCCTTTGAGACTTCTGGCGAAAGGACTTGGGATTTATGTCTTTGGGGGTTGGGGCTTAGGGCTTCTTGGGGTGTCAAGGGCTTCTGGTGCTGGGGTGTGCAAAGCCAATTCTCCAAACCCTAAACCCTAAACCCTCAACCCCAAAGCCCAAACCCCAAAGGCTTAGCCGGTCAGTCTTGCAAGGACACCTTCTGCCTGACTTTCAGCGCGTGCTACGACTACTTCGGCACCCCGGTTGCTTTTTGCGGGTGGGTTTAGGGGCTTAGGAGTTTAGGAGTTCAGGAGTTAAGGAGTTCAAGAGTTCAAGAGTTTAGGGAGTTGGGGTTCAGTTGTCTATGACAAGCAAGAGAACTCCTAACTAAACCCTAAACCCTCCCAAGATCGTTGCTTTAGCCTCAACCTGAAAACCCCTAAAGCTTGAGCCCTAAACCCAAAACCCCCTAAACCCTAAACCCTAAACCCTAAACCCTAAACCCTAAACCCTAAACCCTAAACCCTAAACCCTAAACCCTAAACCCTAAACCCTAAACCCTAAACCCTAAACCCCAACCTCAGGTGAGAATCGCACGGTGGATCTGAAGCCTGGCGGCTCCGAGATCCCCGTGACCTTCGACACGCGCCGGGAGTATGCAGGGAGGCCCAGCGGAGTCAGGGTTTAGGGTTTAGGGTTTAGGGTTTAGGGTTTAGCGTTTGGGGTTTGGGGTTTAGGGTTTAGGGTTTAGGGTTTTTGGCCCTAGAAGTTCTAACCCTTGAGCCTTTCATTCATGAGCCCTACCGGGATGCTTGTCTCAGGGTTTGGGTTTAGGGCAGGAAGCTTGGAAGCTCGTTTTGACTCAGTAAGTCTACTTAGTATTCCCTAGCAACCCTACGATAATCCCCAAAACCCACCTTACGAACCCTACTTACTAAGCGAAACGAGCTTGCAAGAGGGGAGGGCCGGGGGGGGGGGTGGGGGGGGGGACCGAAGACAACAGTAGTATGCGGCCGAAGTAGCAACTCACCGCGACCACGAAACCCCCACACGGGGGTGAAACCCTACTCCGTAGACACACAGCAGACCCTAAACCCTAAACCCTAAACCCTAAACCCTAAACCCTAAACCCTAAACCCTAAACCCTAAACCCTAAACCCTAAACCCTAAACCCTAAACCCTAAACCCTAAACCCTAAACCCGTCACAAAGTGGGGTTTACGGTGCATCCGAGGTCAGCCTTTACTGCCGATGGCAGCTGGAGGGTGCCAACGAGCGGCAGTTTCAACTCCTGGCGCAAGGCGCGCCGCTGGGTGGAGTGGGGTTTAGGGTTTAGGGTTTAGGGTTTAGGGTTTAGGGTTTAGGGTTTAGGGTTTAGGGTTTAGGGTTTAGGGTTTAGGGTTCAGGGTTCAGGGCTCAGGGGTTCAGGGCGACATCGATGTTTAGGGTCCTTCTGTGAGGGGCTGTCCAAGGGTGGAACGGGTACCCTTGGCGGAACGGAGTGGCCGCTTTGCCGAGCCTTCATGACGATTCGGTATGCTTTCTCTACCCCGGAGGGTCCAGATATCCAAATAGGGAATACTTGGGCCTTAGAGTGCTTCCGAAAAAGGGAATATCGGGTTCAGGTACAAAACCAAGATGATCCAAGATGGTACATGGACCCTTAGAGTACTTCTTGCTTTGTTGCTCAGGCTTCCTTTGGACTACTTGGAATCACAGGGGCGACTCCTGTTGGTGATCACAGATGCTTTTAGGTCGATGGGCTCTGATGGGTTATGTTGTGTGATCGATGTTTATGTGAGAGTCAGCTGCACTGCGCCGCTGTCGGTAGTCGGTAAACCCTGAGCCTGTAACCTCCCAACTCAAACCCCAAATCTCCCAAGCACGCTAAGCTTCTTAGGTCGTGTATCCGCAAACTGAAGCCCTTGAAGCCCCTCCCCGCAGCCAAAGCCCGCGGAAAGGCCGTTGAGCCTAGCCTACTAAGCCACAAACTCTAAACCCCACCCCTAAACCCTACACCCTAAACCCTAAACCCTAAGCCCTAAACCCCAAACCCCAAACCCTAAACCCTAACATTGCCGAGGCTTTGAGAAGGTCGTGGATTCGGCCGCGCCCTGAGACTGTTCCCGCTGTCATGGCGTAGTCGGTAGAGCCTCAACCCTTTAAACCCACATAGGGTTTAGGGTTTAGGGTTTAGGGTTTATAGGGTTTAGGGCAGCCCTTTAAACCCATAAACGCTCAGTAGGCTCTTGGGACAGTTGTGTTTAAGAGGATCATATTCAGGAATATTTTGCAGAGGGTTTTGCGGGCCATCCTATAACCCTATCCAGAAGCGCTGCGAGCCCCAAAAGACCTTGAGCTGCGCGCGCAACAATTATGACTGAAGATTAGTCGGACAATATTTCCCATAACTTTGGTGCTTGTCTGGGTCTCTAAACCCTAAACCCTAAAATCCCAAACTTAAGCCCCCAACCTGAAGTCGTCACCTTAATCTTTCCTTAGCTTAAGCCCATAACCCGAATTTCAAACCTTTACCCTCAACCTTACGCCCCAAAGCCTAAATCTTAACCCGCAATCCATAAACCGGTTTAGGGTTTAGGCTGCAGGGTTTAGGGTTTAGGGTCCTGATCCACACCCCAAGCGACAACCCTATTCAGACCTTAGAAACACTCAACCCTCGACCCTAAACCCTCAGACCTAATCTCTCAACCTTCTACCCGGGACCCCTAAACCCCAAACCCCAAGCCCCAAGCCCCAAACCCCAAAACCCCAAACCCGAAACCTCAAACCCTAAGCCCCAAACCCTAAACCCTCCAACCCTAAACCCTCAACCCGACGTTCCATCCAAGGCTCTCTGGTCGTTCCTGACAGCTGAGGAGGTGCGCGGGGAGGGATCATAAGGGGGGGGGGGGGGTATTCTACTTTGGGGTTTAGGGGGTTAGGGTTTAGGGTTTAAGGTTTTCGGGTTTAGGGTTTAGGGTTTAGGGTTTAGGACCCTATAGCCCTGGCTTTCCAAAGAATGTCTCCAACCAAACCCTAAACCCTAAACCCTAAACCCTAAACCCTAAACCCGAAACCCCCACCCTGATTCCTGAAAGCCATCTGAGCCAGTACCAGATGGGCCGTTACCTGGCCTGGGTCTTTGGCCACTGTACCGCTGCGTTGCCCAGAAACCCTAAACCCTAAACCCTAAACCCTAAACCCTAAACCCTTGACATCCTTGTGCCTCACCGGCCCTAGAGCTCACGAGCTTCCCTCCGATGTTTCGACAAGCAGCTGTCAGCCTACTGCCAGTGGGGCGGGGGGAGGGGGTAAGGGGGGGGTAGGGGTGGGGGTAGGGGGGGGGTAGGGGGGGTAGGGGGGGGGTCTCCAGCCCAAGCCAAGTCGTCTAGAACTGCTTAAGCCCTGCCTGCACGTAAACCCTAATTATAATCCCGAATCCCGAAGCCCTGAACCCTAAACCCAGCCCTAAGGCCTAAACTCTAACTCCCAAAGCCATTCAAGCCCTTTATCATCAGGCACACCTTGAACCGAAAATCCAGGCCCATACCTCATACAGTCCGTAGACCCGAATCCCTAATCCTTACCCCCCGAACCCCAACCCCGAAACCTACGAATCCCATGTCGGTACATGGCGCTCAGATGTATTTGCGGAGGCTGGTGGTGGCAAAGTGCGACCCGAATGTTCAATGTGGACACCCACCTTGGCAAAGATGACATCGCATCGCCTGTACCAGATCCTATTTGACAATGCATTTCTATGTGCCCCCGAAGTGCCGGTGATAGCTCGGCGTACGGCCGAGGTGGCATGCCGGGGTGAGAGGGGGAGGGAGTTGGTCAAAAAGAGCGCGAGGAGTGAGACTGAAAGCAAAAGATGTAGGTTTTGCAGCGTGGGCTCGACAGGCGGCGGTGTTGCATGCCCTCACCGCTCACAGTGTCGCAAACGACCCTGAGACAAAGAAGGTCGCTTTCAAACACTCCTATCCAGCCTGGGCCTTGCACTCCTAAACCCTAAACCTTTTAGGGTTTAGGGTTTAGGGTTTAGGGTTTAGGGTTTAGGGTTTAGGGTTTAGGGTTTAGGGTTTAGGGTTTAGGGTTTAGGGTCTTTCAAAGCCCTAAGCGACACACAGAAAACCCTAAAGCCACTGATCCTCAAAACCGGGAAGCGAGGCCCTCAACCTGGAGCCCCTTCAGCCAACGAAACGGGACCTATACCGGTTTAGGGTTTAGGGTTTAGGGTTTAGGGTTTAGGGTTTAGGGTTTAGGGTTTAGGGTTTAGGGTTTAGGGTTTAGGGTTTAGGGTTTAGGGTTTAGGGTTTAGGCACCCTAACCCCCGCCCCCGGTCAAAACCTGCTTTAAAGCAAAACCTCAAAGTCCGGGTTTAGGCTCCCTGAATCCAGACCCTAACGCCCTAAAACCCTAATGCCCAAAACCCTGATTCCTAAACCCTCAAGCCCTCAAACCCTGAACCTTGAAACCCTAAACCCTGAAACCCTCAAACCCTAAACCCGGAAACCCCAAATCCCTAACACCCAAAGTCGAAAAGCCCGAAAACCCCAAAAACCCCAAAACTCTAAAAACCCTGAAGCCCCGCAAAAGGCCTAAACAACCCCCAAAACCCTAAAACCCTAAAAAACTCTAAAAACCCCTTAAAAACCTTAAAAACCCCTAAAAAAACCTTAAAACCCCTAAAAAACCCTTAAATCCACCCAACAAGGCCCACCTCATGGTCTGCTCGGAGCCCACGCTAGTGGCCTCGGAGCTGCGGCGGCTGGCGCACTACGAAGGCCAGGGAGCGTGTGGGGCGCGGAGTTGAGGTGGCTACATGTATGGACACGCGTGTGCAGGTATATAGGTGTGTATATATAGATATGTATATATGTATAGCCGTATATATAGATACGCATGTGTACATATATATATATACATATATATATATGTCTATATGTCTTGAATGGAAAAGGTTGAAGGTGTATGGTTTGAGAGGCTCTTTTGGGTTTTAGGGTTTGATGGGGCAGGGTTTAGGGTTTTGGCCGTTTGGGCCTTTGCGGTTTAGGGTTTAGGGTCTGGGGTTCAGGGCTTCGATCCGCAATGGGGTCTTGGTGTGAGTTTGTTAGGGCTCTGAGAATGTCTTGTCTTGTGGGGTTCAATCGGGTGTGGTGTCCTAGGGTTCTAGTAACCCTACACCCTAAAACCTGAACCCTGAACCCTAAACCCTAAACCCTAGACCCTAGACCCTAGACCCTAAACCCTAAACCCTAAACCCTAAACCCAACTCTTAAGGGGCGGGTGGGGGCGCTTTGAGTCTTTGAGGTGGGTTTGTTTCTCTCTTTGCTGGGTCTGGTGAAGCTTCAGGTGTTGGATGTTCTCCCTTAAAGGCCCTTATGCGAACAGTATAGGGATTCTAGTACCCCCTGTTAGAATCCCTATTAAGGACTGTTCGTATAAGGGGGAACATCCCAGGACATGACTACAATAGCTTGAGAACCCCCAAAACTTGAAAACAAACATCTTCCTTACAAGGGTAATGTGGGGATTGTGGGGGGGTGCTTAAGCAACTAGAAGTAGAGGTTTGCAGTTTGGGATGAAAGGTTCGCCATTTGCGGCGGGCAGGGCAAGAAGATTTCAGGGTCGAGCAGGTGTCCTGAACCCTGTTTACCTGGCAGCCCAGTGGTGGGGGTTTAGGGGTTTAGGGTTCAGGGGTTTAGGGTTCAGTGGTTTAGGGTTTTATTAGGGTTTTGGCCCTCGTTGACTTTTGGTCCTCCTTCATAAACAAATAGCCAACACCAAGAGGGGGGTACCGTTGTTGCAATAGGCTTACTGAGCTACCATGTTTCTACATCCCCTTTTGATGAACCGGGTGGGCTCAGTTTTCATGCATCCCTTCTGAACCCTACATGGAGCATCGAAACCCATACCCTGAACCCTAAACCCTACACCCTACACCTCACCCAAAGTCAACAGGTGACCCTTGCTTGCTACATGCCTTTTTATACATCCTAGGGGGGCCACCCTCCAGCCTCTTCTACTGCATCCGCCGTCCACTTTAACCTCAAATAGCCTTAAACCCTGAACCCTAAACCCTAAACCCAACGATGAGCTAAACCCCAAACCCTAAACCCTAAGTCCACAAAGGAAGTATTGTCGAACTACGGGTTCCTTTTAAGCCCGAAATCCATGGAAAGTTCCCCCCTCGCCCCCCGCCCAAAGTAAACACATAAATAAGAATTTTCACATGATACTAAGAATTCAACACAGAATAAGTAATTCACTCACAGCCCGAAGCACCGCAGACCCCCATCCCTAAACCACCAGGCTTTGATGCGAATGAGCCCTACATCCATAAAACAGAAAGGTTCAACAAATGAAAAAAGAAACAATATAGATAAATAACATAAACAACTCAGAACCCTAAGCACCCAGTCCTCCACCCCTAAATCCCCAGGCTTTGATGCGAACGAGCCTTACATCCAGGACCTTTGGCCACGAAAGGCCTAAAGCACGGGCTTCTCAAGGGTTTAGGGTTTAGGGTTTAGGGTTTAGGGTTTAGGGTTTAGGGTTTAGGGTTTAGGGCTACAGGAACTGCACCCTGGCGGCCGGTCCGGTTTGGATGGGTTCAGGGTTTCGGGCCTGTGCCTAAGCAGGGTGCAGAGCAGAGTGTAGGTTTTAGGGCTTAGGGTTGGGGACGAACGGTCCTTCGTAGGGATTCTGGAAACCCTAAACCCTAAACCCTAAACCCTAAACCCTAAACCCTAAACCCTAAACCCTAAACCCTAAACCCTAAACCCTCTTCTTATCCCGACCGAACGACTGTTAGTATAAGGGGGAGTCTCCCAAGTTTAAGGCCTGACAAGGTGAAGGGTTTGGGGTCTTTGGGGTTGAATGGCTTTACTTAGTCATAGTCGTTGGGTAACATTTTACATGTTTAAGGGTACTTAAACCCAAGAAGGAATATAAATTTAAATATTTTAATATTATCCCAACAATGAACTTGTTTAGGGTTCTGGGGGCTCTAAGGCTGCATCGGGTGTACAGTGCGCAGTGTACTCAGCGCACCTTTCATAATATACATCTTAGGGGGGGGTTACATGGTCCCTTAGTATGGGCCCTTTAAAGGGTACCCCTTTACATACCCCTTATACACCCTATACAAGTGAACGGCCCTTACATCAGAATTCTTTAAGGGGCCATAGCAAGGGGCCCATGAAACTACCCTGTTAACATTCAGTGACTTACGGGGCCAGGGACTTAATTATTGAGGCGCCTGGGAGGGGATCTTTGGGCACCTCAACAGCCCTAATCCATCAACCCTTAACCCTTAACCCTTAACCCTAAACCTCAACCCAGAAGCCTGAGCTGGGCCGCAGAGTATAATTCAACGCCACCCCATTTCCATTGAAGTAAGGGTCCCTTCATATGGTTTAGGGTTAAGGGTTTAGGGTTTCGGGTTTAGGGATCTGGTGGTTTAAAGGGTTTTAGGGTTTTAGGGTTTCGTGTTTGGGGTTTGGGGTTTAGGGGAAAGAGGCACTGAATATGGTCCCGTACCTTCTCTTGCTGGGTTCCGAAGTATGGGCCCTTGCGAGCGATGGGTTTCTTGGGGGTGGGGGGGGGGTATGTAGGGTTCCCCACTGAAGGGCCGATCTGAAGGGACCACGTCACTACCACCCTTAGGGTTAGAAGGACCAGTGAGCCAGACAACCTTTGGTTTAGCAAGCTGTTAAGCTGTTTCGACCCGCACCACCTGACCTACATGGAGTACTGCTTCATGACAACTATCCACAGGAAAGCACCCAACATATCCACTGTACAAGAAGCCCTGTGTGCGCTCACCAACCACTATAGCATTTACTATATATATATATACATATACACACAATATAGTAGATATACTATATATACTATATATACTATATATACTATATATACTATATATACTATATATACTATATATACTATATATTCTATATATTCTATATATTCTATATGTACTATACTATATATACTATATATCTATACATACATACCAGATGTACAGTAATTTTCCCTTAAGTCCAAAACCCTAGGCCCTTGTTACGCTCTTTGGGGAGGACTTCTGGAAGATCCTCGAGTCCTTCGACACGGCGCGGCTGAAAAAGCTCCCCGGTTAGGGTTTACGGTGTAAAGGGGCTGAGAATGCCCCAAACCCCCTAAACCCTCAAGCCTACTGCTTGGGCTGAAGTGTATCCAAACCCTACCCCCGACAACCCTAGCGCCTAAACCCCCGAAGTTGCTTATTTCACTCGCTAGATTCTTATCAGGTCTTGTGAATGCAAGGCCGGTGAATGCATGACAGGACGATGCAAATAAGCCGTGTCCAGTAATAATATTAAGAACTCGCCGGCGATGGAAGCAGCCCAATACCCTAAACCCTAAACCCTAAACCCTAAACCCTAAACCCTAAACCCTACAGGGAAATCAGCCCCGAGCCTTTTGGCAGACTCATGCGTTGCACTTTCTATTAATCGTTGAGATGGTAGCAAGAATCGTAATTCTGGAACAATCGCAATAATGGTAAGTCTAGAATAGTAGCAAGAATGGTATTTCTGGAATGATCGTCCATGCATTACGTTCTTTTCACATGGCATAGAAGTTGCAATGAGTTCGTTGCGCTTTGGTGCCGCTTACAAACTCCAAGATCGCCCCCTATTAGTATAGTTAGCTCCAAGTCTAAGAGGGCTATGCATGTTTCGGAAATATATTTCAGAGTTTAGGGTTTAGGGTTTCGGGTTTAGGGCTCAGGGTGGTTTCAAAGGGCAAACCTCGGCCAGCTCGGGGCTGCTTGGACTCCCAGAATGCAGGCAAGCACCGTAGGTTTTTGTTAGGGTTTGTGGCTTCGAGCCTAGGGTTGGCAACCTTTTTTGTGCCTTCAACCTAGATCCTAAGCCGAGGACCCAGAGTAGGCCTTGTTGTCCCGTTTTTAGGGGTTAAGGTTCCCTTAGCAGCCCCTTTTTGCCCAAAGGGCACCCCGTGATATTCCTAGGCTACTCTTGGGTCTAGAAGAGCTCCACCATCGGCAAGACTTCGATCCTACATATGGGGGTTTACGAAACACGGGAACCCAAGTATGGACCCCCAAAGAGTAGGATGCGCTTGTAATAAGGACCCCAGTAAGGTACCCCCTAATTTCGTAAACCCCTTGAACCCTAACCCCTAAATTCTAAACCCTCGCTATAATGTCGTCCCCCCCGCCCCCACATCGTAAACCCCCATATCTGGCCAACTCTTGAAGTTTGTTGGCTTTGGGTGTACTTGTTTTCTGGGAGCCCGGCGAAGTGTTCAATCCATCCACTCTAAACTCTAACACCCAAAAACCCTAAGACCATAAACGCCCTAAAACCCTAAATCCTAAACCCTAAACCCTGCACTAATCCTAAACGTCGTAGATCTCGCGCCGGGCTGAGGTTCTTGGCCTTCACGACCGGCACCAACCGAGCGCCTCTGAATCTTGGCAGAGCGCTTAAGATTCATCCTAGTAGTTGAGTGAGCACACCACACTTATTTATACTAAGGATCTTCATTATGAATTAGCATAATTTTTTTGAATTGAGGGGTTTATGAATTAGGATAAAATTGCTTGATTCAGGGGTTTTGGAAGATCTTGGCATCCCGCGCAGCCGGGCAATCGTCGTCTACCGACTCAACAGTAGCTTTCCGTTGAGGACCTGCTTAGGGTTTAGGGTTTAGGGTTTAGGGTTTAGGGTTTAGGGTTTAGGGTTTAGGGTTTAGGGTTTAGGGTTTAGGGTTTCGGGCTTCCAAGTATACACATTAATACCTACATTGGGGTCTAAAGCCTGTAAATAATGCCCTGCTTTGGGCTCTTTGGAGCCTCAGGAGGGGTCCTCCCACACCCTTCAATACTGCCCTGCATAGGACGCCCAGTACTACTATTTGCTTAAGAACCCCAAAAGAATAAATAATAGTAATCCCTATATGAACCTTAATAAGGAAGAATATTTTTTCGGGGTTCTTAAGCAATTAGTAGAGTCGTGCGCTTGTTCCCTTTGGTTGATACGGTTCGGATGCAAGGAATCGGCCTTTGTCGACGCCTAAACGCCAAACCCAAAGCCATGAAACCCTCGACACCCTTGATAGAAGCCTTTTCAAGGTACCCTCAGCCCTAACCTTCAGCCCTACCCTCTATTAACCCTACACCCCAAAACCCTAAACCCTAACCCCCCTGTGGAAATCCCTCCTGATTTGGTTGTCATGGCGGAGTTTCTGTGTAACGATGTGGGGTAGGGGTTCAGGGTATGGGGCTAAGTGTTGAGGGGTCCGCTCGTTGCTGCTGCAAGGAATGGTCTGCGCGACGTTCGCTTGGTGGTGCCTTTGTGGCAGAGACATGGGGGGCTGAGAGGTCGGGTTTAGGTTGTTCCCCCGAATACTAACCGTCCTCAATGGGGATGATAGACCCCCTATTGCAATTCCGATTTTAAGGATCGTTAGTATAAGGGGGAATGTCCCAAGGCTGAGGGCTTAGTTAGGACTACCAGCGGCTGTTTGTGTGTGTTGTGCTTCGTGCGTCTATCTTGTGTTTCTCGCGCTGCTATCTATGCAAATATTAGTTTATTCTCTTTAGTTAAATGAGAGGTCATGTGGCAGCTGTCGCGTGCTGTTCAAGGTTTAGCCCCTAAACTCTAAACCCAACGTCGTCTCTGTACCTTAAGCCTTCAGCCCCAAACCCCAAGACCTTAACCCCTTAAGCCTTCCCTGTAAGCCTTGAACCCAAACCCTAAACCCCAAACGATTCTCAAGGGATGCTTGGCTGTTTTTTTTGGCCAACAGGCCCAAAACGGCGCCCATTGGCATCCTTTGTGCTGGGGTTGATTGCAATCAGTTTCGAAGTTCAAGGAGACCGAATCCCTGAATCCCAACCCTAAACCCTAAAATCCCTAAACCCTAAAACCCACGGAACCCTAAAAACCCTAGACCCCTAAAACTCCAAACCCTAAACCCCTGAAACCCATAAAGCCCTAAGAGCCCCAAAACCCCTAAAAGCCCTAGAAACCCAAAAACCCCTAAATCCCCAAAAAAACCTAAAAGCCCTAAGACTCCTAAAACCCTAGAAAACCAAAAACCCCTGACACCCCAAAAACCCCCTAGCAACCCCTAAAACCCCCTAAAACCTCCTAAAACCCCCTAAAACCCCCTAAAACCCCACAAACCAACAAAAAAAAAAAAAAACCTAAAAACCCCTAACACCCCCTAAAACCCCCCAAAACCCCCCAAAACCCCCAAAACCCCTAAAACCCAAAAGCCCGAAAACCCTAAAAACCCTAAACCCCAAAAACCCAAAAACAATCCCTGAAACCCTCCAGAACCCCCCTAAAAAATGCCCCTTAGACTCCTCAAACCCCCTAAAAGAGCCCCTAGGTGCCCTAAACCCTAAACCCTAAATCCTAAACCCTACACCCTAAACCCTCAACCCTAAACCCTAAACCCAAGTAGGTGCAGAAGCACGGCGTCGAGCCGACGCACCGACTGCCCACCGCGCAGACGTGCTTCAACCTCCTGCCGCGTGGCTTCAGGCTTTAGGGTTTTATGGGGTTTAGGGTTTGGGGTTTTGGGGTTTAGGGTTTATGGTTTAGGGTTTAGGGTTTAGGGTTTGGGGTTTAGGGTTTAGGGTTTGGGGCTTTAGGGCTTTCGGGGTATGTTTTCAGGGCTTCCTTTCAGGGCTTTTTAGGGGTTCAGTGTTTTTTAAGTGTTTTGTTAAAGGGTTTTTTCCACAAGCTTTCTAGGGTTTTCTAGGGTTTGAGGGCTTTAAGGTTTTTATGTGTGTTTACAAGGGTAAGGGTCTTTAAGGGTTTTTAGGGGTTATTTAGGGTGTGTCAGGGTTTGTTCAGGATTGTTTCAGGGTTTTTTCAGGGTTTTCAAAGGGTCTTAAAAGGTGTTTTGAAGGTTGTTGAACGGTTTTAGGGTTTTGTGGTTTTAGGTTTTTAGGGTTTTTGGGGTTTTCTGGTTTTATGGTTTTAAGGTTTTGGGGTTTTAGGGTTTTAGGGTTTTCAGGTTTCGGGTTTGGGGGTTTAGGGTTTATACAGGGCTTGAGGGTTTTGGGGTTGTAGGATTTTGGGTTTTTTTGTGGTTTTGAGATTTCGGGTCTGTGGTTTAGGGTTTATATAGGGCTTGAGTGTTAGGGTTGTAGGGTTTTGTGCAAGCGCATGGGGCTGCCCTCGAGTTCTTTCGGGAAGGTGTGGTTCCCGCAGGACAAGATTGTTCTGGGGGTCGAGTGCGCCGAGCACATTTTGGACATTCTGCGCCATAAGAGGAAAGTGGCGCACTGCGTGCTGACTGAACTTTCCCATTTCCTGGAGCACAAGTCCGGCATGAGCGTCGAGAACTGGTCCGGTAGGCAGCAGGCACTGAGTATCTCGTGCTGCTGGTGTTGGCGAGAGCAATGCACTCTTCTGATCTGGTGAGGAGTTCGACTACTGCGCGCTATGTCGTATGGGGACTATGTGTAGGGTTTTTGGGTGTTTTGAGGTTTTGGGGTTTAGAGGGATTTAGGGTTTTAGGGTGTTCAGGTTCTAAGGTTTAGGGCTGAGAATCATGCAGGGATTAAGGCTTTAGGGTTTAGCGTTGAGGGTTTTAGGGGAAGGGGGGGTCAAAAAACCCTAAACCCTAAACCCTAAACCCTAAACCCTAAACCCTAAACCCTAAACCCTAAACCCTAAACTTTCGGGGCTGCTTTTGAGACTCCGAGCTTTGTAGAGCTCCTTATAGGGTTCAGGGTTTAGGGTTTAGGGTTTAGGGTTTAGGGTTTAGGGGAGCTAGCTAGGGAACCTTAGGGAAGCTTGGGGAGCCTTTGGGAGGGATGGGGAGTATCAGGGAATCTTGAGTTACATACCCCCAATTCAACCCCCCTAAACCCTACACCCTACACACTAATTCCGAAACCATGTTTTTTGCTAAGCCCTAAACCCTACACCCTAAACCCGAAACGATTATTTCCTTATTTCCCTAACCCTAAACCTTAAACCCTACACCCTGAACCCGAAACCATTAGGAGAAGTTCACGGCTTGGGGCTTCCGGGCCTTCGGTGCTTGTGGGCCTGTGGGTGGTTTAGGGTTTAGGGTTTAGGGTTAGGGTTTAGGGTTAGGGTTTAGGGTTTAG